GGGAGCATCCCCGGGGCTCCCCAGCATCGCGGATGCAGCTCTTAATAGTGATGGCTCCGTGCCTGGCCATGGCTACATCACCTAAAGGAGAGGATAAAGGACGGAATGCCGCTTTGGGAGCCATAAAGAGGATGTGGGGAGCCCCTCTGGGGAGGGAAAGCTGCCCTGATCCCATGGGATGCCGGAGCCAACATCCCGAAGGCTCCGGGATCAGGGTGCAGCCCTGCCTCCCCGCCCACCCCTCACCATGCGGGTGTAGCTGTGCTGCCTGACAGCGTGGTACCCGAAGGCCAGCACCGCCACGGCCACGCAGAACTCGAGCAGGATGAAGACCACGAGCAGGGAATCCATCCCATTGCTCAGGAGCTGCGAGGAGCCGGAGGGAAGGGTCCCTTTTCCCCCCTCCATCCCGCTCCGTTGCTTTGGCAACCGCTCTGGGATGGAGGCTGGGACCCTGCATCGCAACGGGACAAAACGGGGGGGGGGTTTCTAACCTTGCTCTCGCTGTGCGAGCACCACTCGGGTCTGAGCCGGATCCCAGAGCCGGGCTCGCAGCCGGGGCTGTCCCGGGTGATGGCCGTGCTGTGGAGCAGGGCGGCCACCAGGGTGCTCAGGATGAGGCCGGCATTGAACACGCAGCACGCCTTGACCTGCGGGAGGAGGCCCCTTCCATCAGCGGCTCCGTCCCTTCCCACCAGGACGGAGGCCCTGGGAGCAGCTCCCTGAGCATCCCAGCACGGGTTAATCCCCCCGGGATCCACGCAGAGCATCCCCTTCGTGTGTGCCCTTTGTCCCCATCACGCCACCCAGCCCCTCCTGGAGGCCCAGACTCCCAAGCACGGGGCATGGACCCTATGGGGTGAATCCCGCAGGAGGGATCCCAGCAGCCACTGGAAGGAGCAGGAGACATGGAAGCAATGGGACCCCAGGACCACCCCCCCCGCCCCTTTCCCCCTCACCAGGAGGATGCTGTCTCGCTTCTCGCTTTCCACCAGCAGAATGCCCGAGGCCAGGAGCTGCTCAGGGAACAGAGGCATCAGTGGGGACGTTCCCCTCCCATCCCACACATCCCAGTGCCCATCCCGCTGGGGATCCCCACCAAGAGGGTGGGAGATGCGGGTGGCAAAGGGATCTGCTCCCACGTCCACCCGCATCCCTTTGTCCTCATTGGACACCGAGGAGATGGAGGCCAAGCACATCCCTGCTTACCAGGAGCCCCAGCCAGAAGAGGACCCCGCTGGCCACGGGGAGGGGAGGTTTGCTGCGCTCCGATGCCGTCAGGATGATCCCGAAGCAGATGTGGATGATGCCGGTGAAGATGTGGATGGTCTAAGGAAGGATGGGCATCACCAGCATCCCACCTCCATCCCGTTGCCTCTTCCCCCAGCCAGGGAGCCCCCTCCAGCAGCACATTCCCATGGGATGCTCATCGCGGGTGCCCCATCCCTCGGGAATGCCGCCTCTCACCCCCAGCGCCTTGGGCTGAGCCCTTCGGAAGCTTTGGACTTGGAAGGACACCGGGGCTGCCGCCGGCCTGGAGCTGGGAGCCAATTGGGCCGCACGGGGGTCGGAGGCCGGGATGACTTCCGTGATGATGCGCACTCCTCCGACATCCGTCACCGTGGTGGCCGCCATTCCCTAGGGATGGAGCAGGATGAGGCCCTCAGCTCCAGGAAGCAGCGCACGGATGCGTCCCTGGGGATCGCAAGCAGCTCTGGCATCCCCCGGTGGAGGTGTCCCGCATCCCATCCTGCTCCCGGCAGCTCGTCCCCAGCCGGGTACCTCCTCCAGCCTGCCTTTATCCTCCTCTTCTTCCCTGTGGTCTCCCCGTTGCCGTGCTGATCCCAATGCCCTTTGCTCCCTGCAGGAAGTTTGCGCATGGAAATCCCTCTTGCTCAATGAGGTGGCTTCGGCCAAGAGTGAGGAACGAGGCTGGGAATGCCTCAAGAGAAAGGGAAGCTCCTTTATTGCCTTGCCTTTGGGCTTCTCCTTCCGGAGCCACGGCTCCATCCCTGCGGGAAGGACGCAGGGCCCGGTGCGGGCTCCATCGGGACCCGCAGGGATGGGGCTGTCTGTGGCAGGAAGCGAGAGCTGAGCTCCCGTGGGATAGGGATAAGCTCGGGGTGCCCCTTCCTCCCTTTGGCTGGCCACGGGTCTCCCTTTCCGCTGCTCACCATTCCCAGTGCTCTCCAGGAGGGATGGGAGCCTCCAGGCTTGGGAAGAACCCCCCCCCCCCAGCTTCCATGGGGGTTGGATGTCGGATGCTGGCTGCTGGTCCCATCCCTTCTCATCCTCATCCTCCTCTGTGCTCCAGAGCTCTGGCTCCGCACCAGGGAACAAATCCCCTTGATCCCAGTGGGATTGCGCCGCAGGACAAGGAGCAAACAGGACAAGGTGGGATTTAACCTCTACCCATGAGAGCAGCAGGGCTCAGGGCTGGGGGACAGGATTCCACGTGGGAATTTTCCTCCCTTGGAGCTTAGGAATGTCGCCAGGCTGTTCCTTGGAACGGGAATATTCGGGTACAAGGACCTGCAGGTGGCTTCGCACCGCATTGGCAGCGCTTAGGAGCCGTACCCCGGCTCAAGCTTCACCCCACGGTCCCAGAAAGGACCAGATCCCAGCCGCAGGATTGCAGGAGCGAGGCTTGGAAGTGCCTTTCCCTTTCCCTTGACCCTAGAGGGAGCCGGGAGTCCCGCTTTGGAAGCCCGCAGCTCCCAGCGCTGGGGCCAGCAGCGGGATGCGGTCCCCATCCCACGGAGCTGGAACCCTGGAAGGGGTTGGGATGAAGAGAGCTTGAAGCTCCCCCATCCCGGGACACCTTCCCCTTAGGGCAGCCTGTGTCCAGCCTGCATCCCGTGGAGCTGCCCGTGGCATCCCGCAGGGAGCAAGCCCTTGGCCTTGTAAAGGGCTTTCCCTTTTCCAGGGAAAACACGGGCACGGATGGGGTTCAGCCCCTTCCTCGCACTCCCGGTGCCTCTCAGGCTGGAACCTCCCAACGGAGGAGGAGCCCCTTTCAACAGCCCGATGCTAAGCAGGGCTCCCATTGCCAGCCTCCGCAGGGTAAGGACCGCTTTAACCGGCGTGGAAATGCTGGGATCCCCTCTTGAGCCTTTAGGCAGCCGGGCTGGCTTCCAGCATCCGCACCCGGCTGAAAGCTCCGGCTCCGCTGGATTTCCTCCCGCATTCCCAAAGCATTCCTGACGGCTTCAGCCTTGCGGCCCCGAAGAGCCAAGGCCCCTTTGCCAAGGGAAGGGTCCATGGAGAAAGCAGCTCCAGGTGGGGACGGCAGCATCCCAAGGGAGGATGTGCGGAGCTCTTTGGGATAGGGAAGCTTTAAGCTGAGGGGATGCGGGGAGGAGGCAAAGCCGCTCGGTGCAGCGGTCCAGCCCTTAATATGGAGGAATTCCTGGCTTTGCTGATAGATCCAACACATTCCTTGGATGTTATTATTCCTCCTGTTCGTGTAGGTGGGGGTTGGCTTTCCTGACAGCTGGAATTCTGTTCTTTGCTGGATCTTCATACTTTCCAATCCCCATCTGCTGCTCGCACAGGGCCGGACAACAGGTCTACCCCATGGGGTGCAAATGGCTCTCCCGCATCCAATGGCTTCATTCCAAGGCTCCAGCATCCCATAGGATGCAATGGGAAAGCCTGGCTGGGTGCATCCCTTCCCAGCAGCACAGCACAAGTTTGTGAGCCCGCTGGGAAGCCTTTTCCGAGCCCCAAAGTCCTGCTTTTTCCAACGAAAATAGCCTGGGATGGAGCAGTGCTGCTCACAGGAGGTCCCTGCTTCCTGGGAAGAGCTTTACATCCCCATAGGAACCCCAAAAGCCAGCCTTGTGCTTCGCTTCCACCTGGTTCTCACAGGGCTGCTTCCAGGAGAACGCCTTTTCCCTGGGAAGCGGAGCAATTCCTGGGTACCGGTGATGCCAAGCCTCGGATCCCCACTGCATCCCTGCCACCCCAGGGGTGTTATCCCTGCTCTGTGTCCCCCAGACCCACGGAGGGAACCGTCTCCAAGGGGCAACCCTTGGGAAAAGGGGAGGAGAAGGGGATGAAGAGGCAGCCACTGCCCTAAATCCAAGGGGATCCCAGCAGCTCGGGATGGGGATGGATGCCCAGGAGGACCGGGATGCTTTGGGAGCAGAGAACCCAGGGCAGCATCACCCCAGGATGGGCTCATGGGCTCCCCTTGTTGGGGTGAGGTGGGTTCCCCCCCCCATTTCAGCTCCACATCTCCCCCTTTTCCCTCATTATGGGCTGCAGAGCCCAGCTCAGCCCATCACCCCTCGCTGCTCCACATCACACGAGGAGCAGGCCCCATTCCATCTTCTCCATCCTGAAGCCTCCTCCTTGCCATCTCCCAAACCCCTCCAAGGCTCCAGCATCCTTCCAAGACACAGGACCCAGACCTGCTCTTGGGATGCTGGTGCTCCCCACCTTTATCCGTGGAGATAAAGCCTCCAGGATCTCCAGGCTGGGGACCAGTCCCTGTGCTCGGGACCAAGGTGACCCATAGGAGGGTGGCACGAGGGCGCGCTCATCACCCTGCGTGTGGGACCAGCATCTTTTGGGGTGATGAGGGCAGGGATTGAGCCCGTCCTTCTCCATCGGCCCCAAGGCAGGGACAAGGAGCAGGGGAAGGAGCAAGGACAGGGAGAGGGAGCAGGGCCCTTGGTTTGCTCCTGGGAAGAGGAGGAAGAAGAAGAGGAGGAAGAGGAGGAAGAGGAGGAAGAGGAGGAAGAGGAGGAAGAGGAGGAAGAGGAGGAAGAGGAGGAAGAGGAGGAAGAGGAGGAAAAGGAGGAAAAGGAGGAAAGGGAGGACAGGAAGAAGAGGAAGAGGAGGAGGAGATGGCCCCAGGTGTGTGCAATGGGCTGAGTAAGGGATGCAGCCACCACCCGCCCTCCCATTGGCAGAGCTGCAGCAGCCCCCCCCATGGCTCAGGTGTAAAAGCCATCAATGGGAGCTGCTCCTCTTCCTCCTCTTCCTCCTCATGATGAAGGCTCTCAGGAGATGCTGGTTCCTGTTCTTCCTTGGGGCTGCAGCTTGGGCACACGAGGCTCTGGGTAAGGGGGGTTTGGGTATGGATGGCTGCTGGGGGATGAGGACCAGGGTCTCCTCCTCAAGCTCCTTGGGGCTGAGCATCCCAGCCTGGTTTGGGATGAAGGGAGCTTAAAGCTCATCCAGCTCCAACCCCAACCCCTTCCACTGGAGCAGCTTGCTCCAAGCCCCTGTGTCCAACCTGGCCTTGAGCACTGCCAGGGATGGGGCAGCCACAGCTTCTCTGGGCACCCTGTGCCAGCGCCTCAGCACCCTCACAGGGAAGAGCTTCTGCCTCAGAGCTCATCTCAGTCTCCCCTCGGGCAGGTTCAAGCCATTCCCCTTGGCCTGTCCCTACATCCCTTGTCCCAAGCCCCTCTCCAGGTTTCCTGCAGCCCCTTCAGGCACTGGAGCTGCTCTCAGGTCTCCCCTTCAGGAGCCTTCTCTTGTCCAGGCTGCCCCAGCCCAGCTCTCTCAGCCTGGCTCCAGAGCAGAGCTGCTCCAGCCCTCGCAGCATCTCCATGGCCTCCTCTGGCCTCTCTCCATCAGCTCCAGGTCCCTCTCGTGCTGCTGCCCCAGAGCTGGATCTGCAGCGAGGGAAGCCCTGGGCTGGCTCCTGCATCCCCCATTGGGATGCTTGAGGAGCAGCACAACCACACTGGTGCCATGGGGCACCAGCACGAAGCAGCTCAGCCCCTGGGGCCACCTTTCCCCACGGCCATAAAAGCCAATATGTGGGTGTCCCCATGCTCAGCCCTGTTTCTGCTCCCCCCCATTGCAGTGTCCATCACATGTGGCCATACCCGGATCTCCGTGATGGTCCCAGCTGCTCTCCTGGGGCCCCGTGTGCTCCATGGGGAGCTGACCCTGGGGTCTGGCTGTGGGGTGACGGCTGCTGATGGGGATGGCTTCCGGCTGGAGCATCCCCTCATGGGCTGCGGGACCAGGCTGGAGGTGAGGGATGCATTGGGTGTAGGATGAAGGGCGGGGGGGACGGGACCATGTCCCAAAGGAGGGGGGCAGCATCTGGTGAGCGTGAAAGCTCTTGGGGGTGGATGGGATGGGGTCCTCCATGGGGCCTGTGCCATCGTTGTCACTGCACCCACGGGTCGGGTGGCCTCCATGGAAGCATGGCATGGGATGGGTTGGGCCTTAAGTTCCGACCCGTTGCTATGGAGATGATGGCAGCATCCATAGGGACATCCCTTGTGTGAGGGGTGAGACCTGGCTCTTTGCATGGGGTGCTGGGGACAGGGAGGGGACCCCTGTTGTGACCCCCCCCTTTCCCACAGCTCCTTCCTAACACCATCCACTACAGCAACATCCTCCACTACCGCCCCATAGCCATGGGGCCCGTGGCTCGCGCCAGGCCCTTCTCCCTGCCCGTGGACTGTTACTACCCCAGGTAAGGGGGCGATGGGCAGGGGGGGGTGCCCTGCACACAATGGGGTGTCCCCGGGGCCCGTCACCCACCTTGGGGTGCTCCATGGTGCAGGACAGGCAGCGTCTCCTCCGGACCCATCCGCCCCACTTGGGTCCCCTTCGGCTCCACCGTCGCCCAGCGGAGACGCTTGCGCTTCACCTTGGATGCCTATGACAGTGAGTGGGGACCCCCCCAAGCCCCTTTATGTGTATGGGGGGGGCACAGGACCCCCCACACCCCCTGCCCTGGCCAGCACCTTTGGGGGGATGCTCAGGGCACCCATCCCCATGCAGGGACCTGGGCCTCCCGCCTGTTGCAGCCCATCTATGGCCGGGGGGAGCTGCTGAACGTGGAGGCATCGGCGAGCACGGGCCCCATCCTGCCCGTGAGGCTCCTGGGGGATGACTGCGAGGCCGCCCCGAGCGCGGGGCCGCGGTACAAGGTCATGGACAAGGGGTGAGTGATGGAGGAGCAGAGCCCAGCTCGTCCCATAGGGGGGATGCCCGATGGGAGGATGGAGCCAGGATGGGGCTGGGCTCTGCTCCCAAGGAACAAGGGATGGGACAAGAGGAAACGGCCTCAAGCTGCACCAGGGCAGGTTTAGATGGAGCTGAGGAACAATTCCTGCCCCAGAGGGTGCTCAGCCATTGGAACAGGCTGCCCAGGGCAGGGCTGCAGGCACCGGCCATGGAGGTGCTCTCAAACCCTATAGCCAAGGCCCTCAGCGGTGGCCATGGGGCTGGACTTGATGCCCTTAAGGCTCCTTCCCAACCCCGTTGGTTCCATGGTCCCCATCCCCACAGGTGCCTGCTCGGCCGTTCCCTGCCCCAGCGCGGGCACCGCTCCCTCCGCTTCCCGCTGGATACCTCCCTCTTCCCGAACGCCTCCGGCAGCCAGGTCTGTGCTATGGGGGCTCGGGATGCTCGCTGCCGAGCTATGGGGCAGCTCAAGGTGCTTGTCCCTGCAGCTCCATCTCCGCTGCCACCTGAGGGCCGTGGCCGGAGCCTGCTCCTATGATCCCGTATCCCGTTCCTGGCATTCCCGGCACGGAGCCGACCGCTCCTGCTGCGCTTCCCCATCCGGCTGCAGGGGCCGGCGCCGGCGCTTCGCCAGCAGCCGAGGTGAGGTGGATCTCGGCTTCCACGATGGGATCCGGGCTCTCCCCATGGGGATACCCGGACCTGACGCTCTCCTCCTCGCAGCGCTCCTGGGGGAAGGCACCGTCCGCTTCGGCCCCTTGGGGCTGCTCCCAGCTCTTCCCAGCTCATCCCTGCTCCCCACAGCGTTCCCTAGGGCAGCAGAGCCGTCACCTCGCAGCCCCCTGGTGCCCATAGTGCGGGGCGAGAGCAGGGACTCGGGTGAGTGTGAGCTGCCCCATGGAGCTGGGGGGGACCCTGCAGCCCCCCTCCCTCTGCCCTACTGCTGCCGCCCCCCTCCCTCTGCCCCACTGCTGCCGCCCCCCTCCCTCTGCCCCACTGCTGCCGCCCCCCTCCCTCTGCCCCATTGCTGCCGCCCCCCTCCCTCTGCCCCATTGCTGCCTCCCCCCTCCCTCTGCCCCACTGCTGCCGCCCCCCTCCCTCTGCCCCATTGCTGCCTCCCCCCTCCCTCTGCCCCACTGCTGCAGCCCCCCTCCCTCTGCCCCACTGCTGCAGCCCCCCTCCCTCTGCCCCACTGCTGCCGCCCCCCTCCCTCTGCCCCACTGCTGCCGCCCCCCTCCCTCTGCCCCACTGCTGCCGCCCCCCTCCCTCTGCCCCACTGCTGCCGCCCCCCTCCCTCTGCCCCATTGCTGCCGCCCCCCTCCCTCTGCCCCATTGCTGCCGCCCCCCTCCCTCTGCCCCACTGCAGCCCCCCTCCCTCTGCCCCTTTGCCGCCCCCCCCCCCCATCCCCCCCCCCCCCCGCCCCATTGCCGCCGCCCCCCCCCGCCCCTTTGCCCCTCCCTCTGCCCCATTGCCGCCGCCCCCCCCCGCCCCTTTGCCCCCCCCTCTGCCCCGTTGCCGCCCCCCTCACCCCATTGCTCTCCCCACAGGCCTGTCTCTCCCCATCCCTGGCCCCACACTGGCCATGGTGGCCATGAGCTCCGTCCTCGTTGCCGTGGCCGTGACCGGCTGCTATTGCTCCATGCGGCGGCCCTGGGGTGAGAACAGGAGGGGGGGCCCCGAGGCAGCCCCGGGGGAGCCCAGTGCTATGGTCCTGGCCCCCACCGCAGCCATGGGGCCCCCCCATGCTCATGGGGACCCTGCCGTGGTGTGAGCATCCTTGGTATAGGAATAAATGCGTGCTAGAACAGCGGCGTCCTTCAGCTCCATCCTTTGGTGATGCACCCATGGGTGCTGGGGGGGGGTTTATCCCATGGAGGAGCTTGTTGGCACCTCAGCTTTGGGGCTGCAGTGCCTGAAGCTGCCATTGGAGATGGGCTGAAGGGGTCTTGGTGCTCTCCCACCCCCCCCCAGGATTGCTTGGGTCGGGGGGCCCCAGGCCAGACGCAGGGGGATGGTTGGAGGGGTGATCCCTCGTGCCCCCCAACTCCATCCATGGGGCTTTCATTTACTGACACAGGGTGTTCATGGAGCTCTTGGCTGGACCCCATTGGCCAGGGTGTGAAGCCCCCATGGGGGTGGGAGGGGGATGTGGGGATCCACCCCCCCTGTGATGCTCTCCACAGCCCCAGCTTTCAGGCAGGAGATGCTTTGTGCCTAATGGCCTTGATGGATCTTGCTGCCAGGAACTGGCTGCAAAGAGCTTTTTGCTTTCTTCATTTTCTCTTTATTCCCTCCTGTCTGAGCTCCTGCAACCACAGCCTTGGCGGGGGGGGGGGCTGTAAATGGGGCTGTAGCTCAGCCAGGAGCTTTTCGGGGGGTGTGGGACACGACACAAAACACTTTGGGGGATAGCTTTTGTCAAGCATCCTTTCCTATGTGTGTGTTGTGGGATGGGGTCTGAGCATCTTCCCCTAGGGAGCGGGTACCACTGAGCATCTTCCCCTAAGGAGCGGGTACCACTGAGCATCTTCCCCTAAGGAGCGGGTACCAGTGAGCATCTTCCCCTCGGGAGTGGGTACCAGTGAGCATCTTCCCCTAAGGAGCGGGTACCACTGAGCATCTTCCCCTAAGGTGTGGGTACCACTGAGCATCTTCCCCTAGGGAGCGGGTACCACTGAGCATCTTCCCCCAAGGAGCGGGTACCACTGAGCATCTTCCCCTAAGGAGCGGGTACCAGTGAGAATCTTCCCCTAAGGAGCGGGTACCACTGAGCATCTTCCCCTAAGGTGTGGGTACCACTGAGCATCTTCCCCTCGGGAGCGGGTACCACTGAGCATCTTCCCCTAGGGAGCGGGTACCACTGAGGGAGCGGGTACCACTGAGCATCTTCCCCTAGGGAGCGGGTACCAGTGAGCATCTTCCCCTAGGGAGTGGGTACCACTGAGCATCTTCCCCTAAGGAGCGGGTACCACTGAGCATCTTCCCCTAAGGAGCGGGTACCACTGAGCATCTTCCCCTAAGGAGTGGGTACCTGTGAGCATCTCCCACCCACCCCATAGAGTTGTGGGGAGCTGCTTCTTCCATCACCCCCATTACCGTCCTGTATGTTCCTATACGCTCCTATACGCTCCGTATCCCCCGCTCACCCCGTGATGCGCGGCCGGACGGCGGGGTTGGGCGGTGGCCGGGGGATGCCGCAGCCTCTGACGTCACCCGCGGCCACCCAATGAGCGCCGGGCCTTGGGGGGCGTGTCTGGGCGAGGCCGCGGGATGCTGGGGGTGGGGGGGGGGGGGTAGGAACGCCCCCGGTGGTGGGGAGCGGGGCTGCTCCGGGACCGGGGAGGGGGGGGTCCCTTTGCCCCCCCTCCGCCGCTTCCATGCAGGGCATGGGGAGCCTGCGGCTCGGCAGCCGCGCAGTGATGTACACGGCCGAGACCCTGCCCAAGGGCAAGAACCGAGTCATGGGGGTGAGTCCGGGGGGGGGGGGCAATTCCCGGGGAATCCTTTCCCTGCCGCATTCCCGGTGGTTTTGCCCCATTCCCGCTGTTTCTGCCTCATTCCCGAGGGTTTCTACTTCCCCTTTGCAATGCTCCAGCTTGGGGACAAGGGGACCCCCATCCCGGGATGCGGGGGGGGTTTGTATGGCTTGCTCCCGCTCTATCCCGGCGCTATCCCATAGACCATCCAAATCATGACCGGCTTCATGCACATCGGCTTCGGGATCGTCCTCACCACGCTCACCAACGTCTACACCTCCGTCTTCGTCATCGGAGAGATCCCTTTCCTGGGCGGCGTGTCCGTGCGTAGTATGGGGACGGGGAGGGATTCCCACTGGGAATGATGCCCACCGGCAGGGATTCCCGTTGGGAATGGTGCCCGCCGCCAGTCCGGTCCTCCCAGGGAGAAGGCTTTCAAAGTCAATGCCTAACAGCACGCAATGAGCTCACCGTGCCCCCAGGACCCTATGGGTGATCCCATGGGCAGGTCGCTGATGCTGGGGTGGTGGGGGGGTGGTATTTGGGGTGACCATGGCCGTGTTTCACTGTGGTGTCCCCCCCCTCTCTCCCCTTTTGGCAGTTCATCATCTCGGGCTGTCTGTCCATCGGGGCAGAGAAGAGCCCCACAGAGTGTGCGGTGAGTGGTGCTGGGCACCCCAAAGTGGGTGCAGGATTGGGGGGGGGGGGAGCAGCCCCAAACCCCATCAGGGCAAAGCCTTTCGCAGGAGTATTTTTGGCAATGGGAAGGAAGGAAAGGATCACACCCCCCCCCCCCCCCCCGCCTTGCTGTTACCCTGACATAGACCCACAGTGATGGGTGTCCCTATGGGGTCTGGGGCCGCCCCACATCCCTGCGCTGCCCCCAAAGCCCCTCTGCGCCCGCAGGTGAAGGGCAGCCAGACCATGAACATCATCAGCGCCATCTTCGCCCTCCTGGGCATCGTGGCCTTCATCGTGGACCTCAACCTCAACGGGCTCTATCACTCCGGCTTCAACTACTACGGCTACTTGGTCCTGGTAGGTGGGGGGGCACAGCCTGGGCCCCCCTTTGCTTCTAGCCCGGACCTGCCTGAACCCGGGTAGAAGCCTTTTGGGAGCATCCTTTTCCCCCTTCCGCATCCCTTCTCCATCCCTTCCTCAGCCTTTCCTGGGGAATAGGGGACCTTTCCCGGCCCCTCTGCCTTTTGGGGACATCCCTTTCTCCCTTCTCCATCCCTTCCTGAGCCTTTCCTGGGACATGAGAGGCTTTTCCAGGCTCCTTTTCCTTTTGGGAACATCCTTTCCCCCCTGCTGCATCCCTTTGAATGCTTCCTGAGCCTTTCCTGGGACATGAGAGGCTTTTCCAGGCTCCTTTTCCTTTTGGGAACATCCTTTCCCCCCTCTGCATCCCTTTGAATGCTTCCTGAGCCTTTCCTGGGACATGAGAGGCTTTTCCAGGCTCCTTTTCCTTTTGGGAACATCCCTTTCCCCCCTTCTGCATCCCTTTGCATGCTTCC